GTAAGATCGATCAGCCCATACGCTTGTCGCCTGATATCACTGCCCGACGAGATTCATGCTGGTCACTAGATCGGGGCTCATGCATGCACCCGATTTGCTCAAATCGTTTCTTTCCTCTCTCGACCATGCAAAAAAAACAACAAAACGCATGTCATTTATTTCTTATTTCGTGTAAAAAAAAATGGGTTATAAAAGAACCCCATCAAAAAAGGTGTAGGATCATCTGGTAAACACTAAAATAAATATAGCAATCCAAAGCAAAAAAAAAATCCAAAGAACCACAATCAAGGTATTTCCATTTTTTAACACTTTTTACTCTTTTTCGAAATGAAATAATAGAAACAAAAAACAAGAAAAAGAAATAGGGATCTTGTATTTTACCTTCAGTTTTGGGTGTGCGCCGTCGACCAGAGAGGCAAAGGTGCCTCCTTTAGATATACTAGGTAGCCGGAGGTCCAAACTGAGGACATTTTGGTCGTGGGGGCTTCACTCGGCTGTTTTAAGATTAGTATGGGTTAAGAGTAGAGGAAAGAATGAGGCCTTTGGTTTGTTAGGGTTAGTTTGGGGTTTGCTCACCCACCATTGGTAGTGGCCGAAAGACACAAAAAACCAATGGCGTACGGCGGAGCAAAGAGGGGTTGAGTTTTCGGTCGTATGGGTTAAGAGGGGTTGCTGGTTTTTTGGGTTTTATTTATGTTCTAGTTTAAGGTTTAAGTAGAAGAGAAGAGCATGGGGGTTTCGTCGATAAGGGTTTAGCCACCGATCTACGGTGGTCGGCGTATGTTTTGGGGCCTTGGAGTTTCGACCGACGAGATTGGGTGAGAGAAAAGAGGGGAAGATGATATTTTTGAGAGGCCTAGGGTTGGATGTTTACCCAAAATAGCTAAAAAGATGGTATATAAAAGCAAGAAAATGTTAAAATCGTGTTTAATCCCTCCCTTTTTACCGTGTTTTCACATTTCAGTCACCAAACTTGTGTGTTTAATCACACTTAGGCCCTTGTACATTTAGCGTGTTTTTATGAAATGACCACTAAATTTCTGCGTAAAAGTTTGTTAAAACCCCTAATATATTATCGTGTTTTACATTTTAGTCCCCAAATCCCTACGTTTTATTTATTTTTTAGTACTTTAGTTTCATTACTTTCAATTTAGTCACTAACATGTTATATTCCCTGTTTTATTTATTTTTAATTTTGGCACTTTATTTTTTGTTTCTTTTATTTTAGTCATTAACCTACTAACATTCTAACATTTATTTTATTTTATCATTCGAACTAATATTCTAACACTTTATTTTATTCATTCATACTAACATGCTAATTTTTATTTTTATCGTCGTTACTAACTTACTAACCTTTTATTTTATTGCACAAACTAACCCCCTAACTTTTAAATTTATGCAATTTATTTATGCCTTTTATTTAGTTTTAAGCACCTTAAATTCCAGCACTTTATTTTTCTGCCCTTTAACTTCCCAGCATTTTATTTCAGTCCTTTTTTATTTCCAGCACTTAGTTTTCAGTATTTGCATTTAGGCATCTTAACTTATTATTTCATTTTATTTTAGTCATTGGTCTTGCTTGTGATATATTTATATTTATGTTTCAGTCTTATTTATTTACTCTCTTATTTGTATGGTATTTTTAATCTTGGTGGTTGGTTTAGAAAGTTTGTATGTTGGCCCTTTATTTATGTGTATATTTAGACCTTATTTTTATATAAATCATCATTGTTTTCTAATATATGTAAATAAGAAAATTTTATTGTGAGGAAAATCTATAAAGACATCTCCCAACTACGAGGGAAAGTGTCTTTTCGAGGATTTTTCACACAAGAGTTTTGTTATGCATTCGACAGTTTTCTTTGCTTTACATTTTTATTTTTATTATTATTCACCTCGTTTTGTTTTATTTTTATTTTAATATGATGAAAATGTGAGGTATGTCTTTTTTGTGAAGGAAATTTATGGGAAGTCTCCTAACTACAAAGGAAGTGCATTCTCGAGGATTGTTCACACAAAAAGGCATTCTTTTATCTGAACATTCCTAAAATTTAATATAATACTATTCTTTTTTAAACTATAACATCTATAAAATTTAGGGAACATCATTTTGTGAGGGGAATCTATGAAAAAGTCTCCTAATTATAAAGGAAATGCATTTTCAAAATTATTCGTACAAAATGATGTGACTTTTCTTATAAAAATAATTATAATCTTTGGGGTTAAATATATAGCTTTATTCTATAAAAAATATATTTTGGGCTCTTTAATCTTTTGACTCGATGCATTTATTATTTTAGTTGTTTTTTAAAATTGACACTTTTTAAATAAATTCGAATAAAAGAAGGATCGTAATTTAAATACATTTTTCAAGTTTGTAATTCCAAATATTTAAACATCATATAATCGTTTAGGTATCAAAACTTGGGCGTTGTGGGGGTGTTCACCCTTCCCCACACGTAATCGACTTGGAACTCTTAAAAAATGAATTTTTGGTAAGACGTAAACAATTTTTTATCGTTTAAAGTTTCCAACCTACCTAACTTAAAGGTTGGTAGCAACTCCAAAATCAAATTGTTTTTCAAAATTATATTTCAACGCCTTCCCCGAGAAAAATATCTTAAGTCTAACGGATCCCCGACGGAGACGTTATGACAATGACCTTACACATTTAGTTTTTATCACTTACACATTCTATCAAATATATCATAATTGTAAATTATTTTAATATATTTAATCCTATAATCAAGTGGGGACTTGTGTAACCGCCAGGTTAAAAAGAAAATGAAACAAAGTGAAATTGGGTGCTAAATAGAATTGAACCAATAACCAAGTGCATTTCTAGCAATATCTCAACCACTAAGCAAACCCCATATTTTTTATTTTAGTTCAAAATGTTTTATATTATGGTAAAAAATTAAAATAAAAAGCTATTGATTGGATTTGAACATGAAATTTTAATTTGGAGTAGGTGCACCTTAAAATTATTTATATATTTAAGATGTGTTTGTAACATTGGATTCATTAAATAAAATTTTAATAAAATTTATTTTTTAAAATATAATTTATAAATAAAAAAAAGGAAAAAAATAATTTTGAAAATAAAAATTTTAAACTTTTGATTTTAATAGATATTAACTTTATATAAATAATAGTGCAAGTATTTTTTCAAATGTTTGATTTACTTTGATAGTCAATGTGCACCCCTCCAAGTTAAAATTCCATCTACGAATTCAATCAATAGCTTTTATTTTCATTTTTTTCCATAATCTAAAACATAATATGCAAAACATTTGAAATCATGTAACAAATATGAGGTTTGCTCTAGTGGTTGAGGCGCTGCTAAAAATGCTCTTGGTCCTTGGTTTGATAGTGTCCAATGTCACCAACAGACTGGTGGAAATATTATTCAATTAAAATGTTAAAAATAATTTAAAAAAGCCATCCAATCATGTTGTGACACCTGTCATCTTTGACATGTGTCGTCACATGATTGGAGGATTAAATATATTAATTTAATTTAAAATTATGATCAATTTGACAGAATGTGTAAGGAATAATGACTAAATGTGTAATTAAACCAATTTTATCAATTTCCATGTAAGCACTTTTGTTAAATGTTAACGTCAAGTTGTTTGATTGAATGCATTTAAATAGTCGGATGACCTAATTGACAAAATTTAAAAAATGGAGATCAAAATGAAAAGGGAAAATAGTTAGGTAGTCACTAATATAGTTTACCCTAAAAAGTTTACAACTTACAAGTTAAGTAAATATCAAGTTGAGTAAATATATATATATTAAAATTTTAAGTTAACTTTTTAGTTAATTATTATATCATAATAATGATTTAAACTAATTGATATCTAAAATCATTTTATATAATCTGATTTCTAATCTAATAAAATTAATAATCAATATACAAATCATTTAATAAAATTAATTTAATAATTATAATTAATTTTTTTAATCTAATGATCATCATTAATATAGAAAATAAATTTATTAACCTAATGTTCATAATTAATATATAAAGTAATTTTATTAATCAAACCATCATAATTAAGTTTATTAATTTAATGATTATAATTAATATTTTGTTTTAATTTGTGAAAAAATTATTTTTATTAACTTTAACAATCATAAGCTATTAATTTAATACAATTTTTAAGTATATTTATAGATTAAAATTTGTAAATATAAAAAGTAAAAATATTAATTTAATGATCATAGTTAATCATGTACTTTAAATAGTGAAAAATTATTTTGTCACACTATAATTTTATAAATATATAATTTCACAATTTCATCAATTGCAATTTATAAGTAATGTAAATAACAAGATTAATATCAAGTCAATTTAATAACAAATCAGATCATTTATAGATTAAGTCAATTATAAGATAAATTCATAACAAGTCAGGTTGATAATATATCAGTTAATATCAATTATTTACCAGGTTAATCTCATGTTCAAATTCATATCAGACCGGATGCAGGTCGAATTCAATTATGAAATTATCAGGTTCAATTCGGGTTTATTTAGTTCTCAAGTCAATTTCAGATCCAAAACTATCAGATCCAACTCGAATTCAAGTCAACATCAATTCAAACTCGAATCAATTTAAAATCATTACCTACTCAGGTCACAGATTATTCTGACTAAAGCCGGTTCAGTCAATTTTACAGTTCTGATAATTTTTTACATTCCTAGTTATGAAGAGTCAAATAATTATTAAATAATTAAGAAAATTTAATAAAAGTAGGTATAGATTGTAGCCCGGAATAGACCTTGGACCAAGGCGTTACTGTACTACAAAAACTCAGACCCACATGTGGGCCCAAGCTCTCGCTAGGAATTGAAAAGGAATATTCGAAGAATAGGAATTTCTTTTCCGTTTCCTAATTCCAGCAAATTGCAGTCTTTTCCGTTTGCGTGTAGGACCCACGTCTTTACACGTATATATATTCCTCTCCTCCCCTTCTTCTCGTTTTCAGTTTCAGATTCATAACAAAATCCCTTCTTCTCCTCTCTGCTCCGTCCCCATATATCTTCTCAACCCTAACTTTTCTTTGACCTTCCCAAACAGAGTTCACTCTGTTAAATAATGGTTTCACAAACTCAATCCAACAACAATGCCTCAGAAACTGTTAAATTTCTTTGCAGTTACGGAGGCAATATTCTTCCCCGTTCTTCCGATGGCAAGCTCCGTTACGTCGGCGGACTTACAAGAGTTCTCTCTGTTGATCGTTCTATTTCATTTACAGGTTTGTTTTCTGTCAACTGCCTTTTCCTTTGTTCCTTTATTTCTATTCAAAAGAAGAAGAGTATTCAATTATTTCGTGTTTGTAGCAGAATTGATGGTGAAGCTCGTTGAATTTTGCGGATTTTCGGTAAACTTGAGGTGTCAGTTACCCAACGGCGATTTAGATTTTTTAATTTCGATAAAGTCGGATGAGGATTTAACGAATATAATCACTGAGTACGCTGAAGCGGCGTTGATTTCTAAATCTGCACCGTCTAAGATCCGCGCGATCCTTTCACCGCCAAAGTCGCTCAAGAAAATCTCTCCTCCGCCGTCGAAAACTTCCAGCATCAATCTGTCGTCGTCAAAATCGTCCAGCTCAAATTCTCCGGTGAAAGCCAGATTATGTCGCCGGAGTTTCTCTCCGGAACCATCGATGGAATATTCCGTCAGAGGATGCTACAGTTGCTACCTTCAACAATATGCTAGGGTTTTCTTCAACGCTCCCTGCTATAATTGCTTGCGTTGAAATTTAAACGAGCGAGTCCAGAACGGAGGAATCTGCCGGACGTTTATACTGTAAAAAGACGTACATACGATACAGATGATGGCGATTAAGTAGAATTATTTTACATAAAAGTTGATTAGCCGAATTTTTGCTATTTTTTTTTCTGATGCCTTTGGATAGCTAAGTGAGATTTGAGAATTAATTTGTTCAAATTGATAAATTTTGAGAGTATTGTTTTCCCTGCTCAATCTTGATTTTTTTTTTTGGCATAGTGCTCAATTAGGCCAAACATTTATAAAAAAAAAAATCAATTTATCTCTTATTTTATTTTTTTGAAACATTTTATTCTTTAATATTTTTTAGAGTAAAAATACTCTTAACATTTTATAGAATAATAATTTTATTCCTTAATTTTTTTCTAAGTGATTTTAGAATTCAACATTTTTGATTAGAAAGGGTTTTTTGGAGCGTTAATTATGCGTTAACAAATGATTTTTATCTATATAGAGTTTTTTTGTTTTAAATTAAAATATTAAAGATTAAAATATTTCAAACCAAAATAAGAATCAAAATGATTTTTAATAAATATTGGGAGTTATTTTTTATATTAAATCTTTTTCTTTTTGAAATTTTTATTTAACTCGCTATTAACATGCACAAGTTTCCACGGTTAGAATTAGGGGTTTGGGGAAATTAAAGAGGAAACGCGAATGACAGCAAACAAGATACATGAGACGTACGGATGAGTTAAATCACCTGTGTGACACGAGGCATGAGTAAGAGAATGGTAAGAAGTTGATTTTTTATTTATAGTAAACTACACAAATATTTTTCGATTATAAAATATTATTTTATTAAATTTTAAATTATTAAAAGTTATAAAATCGTTCATTAATTGTAATATATTATTTTGTTAAGTCTTTCGATTATTAAAAATTATAAAATATTTACTTGATTATTTATATGTTTCAAATTTGTCTTTTTTAATAAAAATTGAAGGTCATCTGAATAGTATGTTAACGTGTTGAATGAGATATGATAAAATCATATTTTAATGATGTTTATTGACATCACCATTGCTTGTAAGCACTATTTCGATGATATAATATTTCAAGCACTGACTCCACAATATATTGTAAACATATATTTGATTCACAAAATACAACACAAACAGTTTTGGTTAGATTTTTATCATATTTCAATGAGCATGTTAACATTTAACTCAGACGACCGTTTGAAACATTTGAATAGTCAAATAACTATTTTGCAACTTTTAATATTTGGAGAACTCAATAAAACAACGCTTTATAGTTAGTGGACTATCTTATAACTTTTAATATTTGGAAGACATAACAAGGCAATGAATATAATCGGGAGATCATTTGTGTAATGTGTCGCGGTCGTCTTTCGGGTGGACCCGAAATTAGGCTTCGACTTGAATAAAACACGTTAAAGTCGTCACCGATAATTTTAAAAAATGTTTAGGCTGATCGGACACCATCTTAACTGAACTGCATTTTACCATAAATGTGTCGGGTTAGGAAGTCGGTTACAGTCAAGGAAGGATTAGCACCCTTGTACTGCACTTTCCGTACCAATTAATTTGTCGGTTGTCTTAATTGCAAAAATTAAAATTAAAATTTTAAAAAAATCAATTCGAATTAATTACCTTTGATCGTTCGAAATTATCCCTAAAAAGTCAAAAAAAATGTTAGATAAGAAGAAAAAAATGTTAAATAAAGGAAGGGAAAAAGAGATAAAAAAATAATAGTAAGATAAAAATAAAAATTAAAAAAAAATATTAAATAAATCAAAAGGAAAGGAAAGAAAAAAATATAAATAAAATAATAAATATAAATATAAATAAATAAATAAATAATAAAGAAAATGAAAAACAAACAAATTAAAATTACGAGTGAATTAAAAAGCTTAAAGGATCAAATTGAAATAAATAAAAATTTATGGATCAAATGAATACTAAAAGTTAACTGTAAAAAAAAGGTTAGGAGGACTAGACAATAATTAATCCTAAATACCAAATAGTGAGTAAAATAGAAACATAATAAAATTGGAATTCCAAATTAAAAATACTGAAACTTAACTTTGATGACTAAAATATAAGGGTACAAACTTACAGGGGCTGAGGGTGTAATTTACCCTCATATTCAAAATGCAAAAACCTCCTCCCAAAATGATGCCGCATGGGGAGGGGTATTTATACCCCTTAACAGTCCCCTAAATGAACCAAAGCTCGTATTTCCTCATTTTTTTTTCTCTCACTAAAAGAGAAAGGAGAGAATTCTCTATGACCTCTCTCTAAAATCCCTCATTAGAGGGAAACCGACAACCAAGTCGGCCGTCGCCGACTGTCGCTCCAGCTACCGCCTCTGGTGGCCGAAAAAACAAAAACTCTCACCAAATGTTCCCCTCGTCACCCCGAAGCAATATCCGAACCCAAAACCTCCTAAAACGCCTCATCTGACATAGATCTAAAAAAATGTTTCGGCTTTTTTACCTTTTCTCGTTGATGGCCCTTCGTTTTCTGATGAGCTTTCCTCTTTGTGGTCTCGAATGATTTTTTTGTATGGTTTGCTTTGCTTTGTTGTGCACTGTGTTTTTGGTTCCTTGATGTTGTTGGTTTTTTTGTTCAATCTTGTTATTAAATGGGTTGCTCTGTTTCGATGTTCTTATGGGTTATTTTTGGTTTCGTTGTGTTGACTCTGTTTATTGTTGATGATTTTTGTTCCCTGTTTGTGGTTCCCCTGGTGGTATTTATATACCCCCAACGGGGTTATTTTCGATGGCAACGGGGTCGTTCCCGGTTATTTCGGGATGTGACCGTTGCTGGCTAAAGTTTCGGGATGGTTCAGTCCCTGGATCTTGGTTCAGACGTTTCGCGTGACGGACTCTCGGTCTCATTGATTGTGCGGCGCTGGTGCTTGGCATGACTAGGGTTTTGCAACCCTATTTCATTTATGGCCTGGGTCAGGCCCGTTCTTCTGGATCGACATGTGAACTGGATTTGGACCCTTTTCAGAACTTGAAAAAATACAAAAAATAATAAAAAAATAATAAAAAAATAAAATATTTTTTAAAACTATATATTATATGTTTTTTTTAAAAATGTTTTCAAAACCCTATAATATATATTTTCAAAAATATTTTCCAAAACTATATATTATATATATTTTCAAAATGTTTTAAAAACTATATTATATATATATATATATTCAATATGTTTTAAAAACTATATATTATATATATGTTTTCAAATATGTTTTCAAAAGTATATAATACATATGTTTTCAAAAACTATATATTATATATATATTTTAAAAATATTTTCAAAAATGATATATTATATATATATTCAAGAACGTTTTCAAAAACTATATATTATTATATGTTTTCGAAATGTTTTCAAAACTATATAATATATATTTTCGAAAACCATTTTCTAAAAATTATATATTATATTTTTTTTCAAAAAAACATTTTCAAAAATTATACTATATATATATAATAATATAATATAAAAAAAATAAACAAATCCGGACGAAAATGAGTGTCTACAGCTGCCCCTCTTTATCCTTTTTTCGTGTAACAAAAAAAATAGGACAAAGATAAAAGGACACAAATTTTCGTTCGGTATAAAGGGGGTCCATAAGTCTAATGTCTTTCTTTATGGAGTTGAAAATGACTCTGATATTGCAATTAGGAACAACTCCCTGTTAAATTGAGTTACGGATGACTCCTCTGTCGCGAAGTCAAGTCTGTCTGGAATATTGAAGTCGTAGTTCAGAATTTGAATCGGGATGTAGTTTCTCGTTGCCAAATTATAGTCAACCTTGGTCTCCTTCTCGATTTAAAGACCTTGGTTTGAAAATTCGACTGGAAAGTAGTTCCTTGACACTACCTTGTGGTTGATAGGCCCTCGAACTGAATGGAATTGAACTCAAAAGTTTTTGTTGATAGATAGCCCTTATCGCCTTGGGCTATGCTGTAAAATTGGAATCGAACTCAAAGGCTTTTTTTGACAGATAACCCTCATCGCCTTGAGTTATGTTGTACTAGATTGAGATTACCTCGTATCTTCTTTTTGACTTAAAGACCTTGGTTTAAACTTTAACCGGAAAGTAGTTCCTCACTACTACCATGCAATTGATATGTCGTCGAGCTGAAGGGAATCAAACTCGACAGTTTTTGTTGACAGATAGCTTTTCCGACTTAAGCTATGTTGTAAAGTTGACATGCCCTTGAGCTGAATGTAATTGAACTCGAAGGTTTTTATTGACAGATAACTCTTCTCGCCTTGAGTTATGTTGTAAATTTGATATGTCCTTGAGCTAAATGTAATCAAACTCGAAGGTTTTGGTTGACCGATAGCCCTTCTCGCCTTGAGCTATACTACAAAGTTGATATGTCCTTGAGATGAATGTAATCGAACTCGAACGTTTTGGTTGACAGATAGACCTTCTTGCCTTGAGCTATGCTGTAAAGTTGATATGTCATTGAGCTGAGTGTAATCGAACTCGAAGGTTTTTGCTGGCAGATAAGCTTTGAGCTATGCTACAAATAGTTCGTTTAAGTGAAAAATGGCTCCTCTTCATGGGTCTAAGCCGGTCATAATTCTTTAAATAACTCCCCTTCACGGGAAAGCCAAGTGGTATATTCTGTCAGTCGGATATCATCTGTCATGGAGTTGAAATCTGGTTTGAAAATGTTAACTAGAAAATAGCCACTCGTCGTTGAGTTAAGCTGAACCGGATCCGTTCTGAATTGGCTCTCGAACCTGTCTGAATTTGATTATAAGATCTGACCATATGTCGAGTTGGTTTATGTGTAGCTCCTCGCTGCTGAGTTAAGCAACCACCATTAATTTCTGAAGGTGCTTTTGAATCGAGTAAAAGCTGTAAAAAATTACGTATGCTAAAAATGATAAATGTGATGCTCTTAAGTATGTCTAAGGTGCATGTAACATGAATTAGTTCTGTTTTATCTCCTGATGGAGCCTCATTTTTTCTGCCAGTCTTGTCCTCGAAATCGACTATGCCCCATTTTCTTCTCGGGTTTCAGCATTTCACATTTGAGACTATCCTGTTTGAAAATGTTTTTCTCCTTTCTCTTATTTTAGGAGGAAAAAAAGATATGAGAATATAAAAATTATGTAAAACATTGCCCCTTAATTCAAGATCGCAATCAAATCAAATCATAAACATAAGTTCACAGAAAATCAAAG